GTTTTGTCTTCTGCAGTCAGAGGGGCCCCCTAACCTGTCTTTGCCTAGGGCCCCAAATTTCCTAAATCCAGCCCGGGGTCTGGAGGAATCTGCTCCAGGGATACTGTAATCTCTCCAGGATATTTATGCCCTACAGGCCAAATACCCAGGAAGATTTTATGACAATTATAAAAAAAATATATGTACAGTAATCTACAATTCCTGAAACAAAACCTAAAGTAAAACCCATTGTCTTCCATGATGATCGCCTCACCTTTAAGTCTGTGTAATCTGTGTAATTAAACAATATGAAAATAATAAATCTATTTCATGCATCTGATATAGTCTGCATGTGTCCCTGGCTTTTCTTCTATTGGTAGATCTGGTTAATTCCCACAGAAACACTCAGTAACTAGGCCTTTATAGCTATTAGGACCCAGATAAGCTATAATAAAGCAATAAAGGTTTTATTCCTCCCTTTTTAACCGACTTGATTTCTCTGTTTGGTGAGTGAGCAGATTAAGTTTTACTTTCAGTTTTTGCAGGATCGCAGCAGGAAGTCACTTTAACCAAACGTTTAAGATTTATTTAATTGAACTTCCTAAAACGTGATGTTAATTAAAAGGAAAAAAGGGAGACCAAAGGTTTTAAAGACACTGTTGAACCTGTGTGGATCGTTTCCATTTCAGTGAATCCTCTAACATTGGTTGACTCACCTCTTGATCCTCAGGATGCATGTCTGGGATGCCTTCTCATTGTCCCAGTCTGCGCTCAGAGTTGGGTCCCAGGAAGTGGCGTGGATCTGGGACAGGAGCCCCCCTCCTGCCAGCCCCGCCACCCCTTGGCCGACACCGGGCAGGGGGGAGGACGTGTGAACGATGGGGGACACGGCCAGGACTGGTGGCGAAGGGCCGGAGCTGAATGCGTTCCCAAAGCCCATGGCTGAAGAGGCAACTGCGGAGATCGGGGACACCACAGCGGCCAGGCCACCGGGCGCGGCTGGGGTTGTAGCGGGAGAGGGGGAGGCCGAGTTGGGGCTAGGGTGAGCTCCGCTAGCGGCAGGGTATCCCCCTGGCAAAGCCGGCAGCGGAAAAGCTCCGCCACCCTGTCCGGGAACGCCTAAACTGTGGCCACCGCCGCTGTACTCCTCTCCAAAGCTGTCCGCCATAGCTGACGAGCTAGCAGGCTAGAAGAAACGAGATGCAGAAGAACCTGTAGAGGAACCTGGGAGCCTCATTGACTTCAGCTGAGAAGTTTCCTCCACCTTTCAGGTTTCCAGCTCAGTCAGAGGAAGAGGAGGCAGCTTGAGGCCAGACCAGCAGAGAGAAAAGCAATTCTTCCCAAAACATGGTGCTAGCTGTTAGCTTAAATCTACACTCAACTGTTGACGTTTTTCTCTGAATTCAAAATGGTCACCTCACAACGGAGGCTGTTGTTCGGATAGATTTGATGAAAATATTGAAAATAATATCGGTAAAACCCGCTTTAAAATGACCGCATCACCAGCATTAAGGAAGCTTGTCGCAACTTCAGGAAGATCCCTCCGTCAGGTCGACCGGAAGTGAGAAAATGTGACGCATCCGGTGAAGTTTTTCAAAGTAAAACTGTTTTTCGGTAGCAGTGGCAGCATCGTTACAATAATTCATGCGACCAGGGAAACTGACTGAATCGTAAAATAGACATAATGGCTGCGTCTCAATTCTTTTTTTATTTTATTTTTATTTATTTATTTTTTTAATAAAAAAAATTAGAAAGTTACAGTTCACGTTTGCATGAAGGGAAAACAAAGACAAAGAAAATAAAGTAAAACACATAAAAGACAATTTTCAACATCAACAAATAAAGAACATAGCCAGAGTAACAAAAATAAGTATCAGTAACATTAATCATAAAATTAGAGTAGATAAATGTTGTAAACATTTTGATGCTGATTTACCCTTTAATCCAGAAATACAGATTGCATAATTTTTTAAGTCAACTTTAAAAACACTGAAAAGAGGTTTGTTCTTCATAAATTTTGACTTATGGATGAAGAATTTACCAAGTAAAATAAATAAATTGACTATATATTGTATAGAGGGGTTTGAGTCAGAAAAATAAAAGAAAATGTGAAAACTGGATAAAAGTATGTTTGAGCCAAAGTGACCATTAATAAAGCATTGCATATCATTCAACAGAGAAGAGCTACGTGAACAGCTATAAAATAAATGGTCTAATGTTTCAATTTCCAAAGAGCAAAAGGAGCATTTTCATCTACAGTGGGGATGAATTGTGAAATAAGCTTATTAAGATAAACCATTTATTGAAATACTGCTGGAGACAAGAACATTCCTTTGATCTAACTCTATAAGAGTAGATCCAACATCGACCTCTCTCAGTTATGAGACCAAGGCTGGACTATTGTAATTCTTT